AGCGCCTGCCTCGCAGGACACTGCTGGATGAGAGGAAGTCGATGATCATGGTTCAATGAGATGAATCGCATCAAGAATCAAGAAGCCGATCACTGCCCACAGTATAGTCGCAGTGTGTGGTATGGCATGCTTGTTGCGACTTGTCACTTACGATTTGCCTGATGTACGCCTTCCAGGGAAACTTGATTGTTTACGTCTGCTACCAACCCTCCAGAATTAGACACAGTTTAATGTTTGCCTCGGTTTTTGACCACCCCCCTCCCCTCCCTCCCTCGCAACTGCACAATCCATTTCGCAGAACGCTTTTCGAAACCACCTTCGTAATTGCACAATCTTTCCGGGCCGAGGTGCCCCCATGGGGGGGCGGGGGGGGAGGGGTTCTTAATATGAGGAGTGAACATTGAGGCTGGTCGAAATGGCCTTTTCACAGCTTCCCAGGTATTCCCAGTCCTGATCACGTCAGGTTTCCAGCTCGAGCTGACCACGCCCTCTCCCACCCCACGCTGAAGCCAGCTGTTCTTCTCCCGCCCTCCCTGCTGTATTGGTGCCCCCGGTGTATTGGCATTATTGGCATGAAAGAGCAGATTGCTTTTGCAAGTTTGAACGAATAAAGATAGTGAAACATTTGCTGCCACTTAAACTCAAGGATTAGCTCTTGCTTCTCGGGGTGATAGATTTCGGTGGGTTGGATCTCGAGAAAAACTGCAGCAAAACCTACATCTTGACAAGTTGCAAGTGAGGCAGCAAGAAGAAGCATAAGCAACCAAATTGCAATTCAGAAGCTGCCATCGCAGCTCTATCATCAAAGTCGCACAAGCAGTAGCAGCAGCGGCAGCAGGCCAGAAGGGCTTGTGCGAATGCTGACAGAGCCAGGCAGGCGAAACAGATGCCAACAGCGCCAACAGTCAGTGTGCCTTTACTCGCGGCACAAAGTGTGCACAGTGCAGGCAGTAGCAAGGGTGTTGATCAGAGAATGCATAAATGACGGAGTTGCAGATCCCACAAATGCGATCAGAACAGATCTCTGGTCTCCGTTCATATCTTTCCTAGAGCTACTCGGCCTTTGCAAAAGACTTAAAGAGCGCGGTTCACTTTTGTCTTTCCGAGTCGGTGTGTCAGGACTGCAGTCAAGGCACACGTGGCGTCTTGATGTGGCAATGTGCTGCATGACATTGTCGAGGCTGCTGAAATCGCGCAAGCAGACGGTGCAGCGAAAGGTGCCATCCCCCACGTCGGCGACAAAGGGTGCCTGCACAAGCTGTTGCAAGTTGCTGCCAGGTTCGACCCCCTAAAATCCCTAAACAGCATGCAGAATCATGCAGCAGTACAGACACAGGTCGACATGAGTCGAGGAGAGATGTCCAGCCAGGGCACAACCCGCACAATCAGAAAGGAAAAAATGCAGCGCAGTATGTCTTCGTTGAACTCCGGCAGACCCGGGTACTCACCGGAGAACATCATGATCAGAGCATAGCGAGATTCCAACATGAGGCTGTTTGCCACCTCGGTCTCGCTAGGCCCCTGCTCCAGGTGCAGAGCAAAGCCAGCGCAGCCTTTGCAAACCGGTTCCCTCCGCCGTACTCTGGTACTGGCTTCGCTCCACTGGATCTGGCCAGAGCTGAAGGCTCCAGCATCCTTCCACCGGCTGCAATACCGGCATCGGTAGAAACAAGCTGCCTCCTCAGGTTCTCAGGGTGCGAAACATTGCCAAACCCCCTGAGCTGCACCCTGACGACCTGTTCCAACATAAGCGGCCAGACCTCCCTGTCTCTCTCTCTCTCTCTCTCTCTCTAAACCGCAGACATACCAGTACTGAATTGCAGCGGGGGTTCTGCGCCCAAATGCCGCGCACCATGTGGCATGCGTGAGACAAGATGCCTGGTGGCAGTGTCGGATTTCTCTAACCCTCGGCTCGCAAAACCGCTAGAGCTTGCACAGAGCAAAGAATCCCCTTTCTGTGATGAACACGGTGCACGCTTCCGCGATGAAAATAGTGTCGCATACGCTGAGTGAGATCGTAGATCGGAGAAACCCTCAACCCCGAAACACCTGATGTAAAAAGACACCCGCTGTGCAAAAGGCTGTACAGTATACCAACGCATAGCTCAGTGATGCAACCCCGAACCCAACTCAACGCAACTAAAACCTTCTCAGTCGCCTCTTCTTCAAAGTGTGCCTCTGAACCCTGAAGCTCCTCACCCCACGGGCCTGACTTTAGCTCGTCGAGCTCCACGGCGGCATGGCCAGTGTGTTCAGGAGTTCTTCGGGCTACTAGTGTAACGAGGATTCTGCTGAAGCTCTTCAAGAATCGGCACCGATGGTCTTGAAAAGTGAAATCGAAAGGCCTTTCGATGTTCTCACATTGGCACAAGCAGGAGAAGCTTTGAGTTCAAGAGTCTGCATCTGCAAAATTCTGCAAACATCCGGACTCGCAGCATGCTCTTGCGTGAACAAAGCCAACAAGTAGCCACAACCTTTCGACGGCTGCTTGTTTGTGATGTCTGCTAGTGGCCGAAACCCAAAGAGGAAGTCTTAGGAAGTGCTAAAATTACCGAAATCATCTTAGACACAATCCTAAATCCTGAGCGCAGGCCCAGGCCTGAGCAAGTCATCCAGGATGCTGGGTGTGGGGCGTGCCTCAGTCCAGTGAGGAATCCAGGCTTCAGGATGATCAAGGATGTTCGCAGTTTCAGGATGTTTCAGGTTTCGCGATTTCTCGTGGCATGGCTTGGCCACCTTTGCCCACCTCCCCAAAACCCCGGCCCAACCACCCGCACCTCATTTTTGCCAGAACCTTCACCCTGCCAAGCTCTCCAAACCTTAAACTCAGAAGCCCCGAGCCCTCATGAGCCCCCTAATTCATTGTCTGGCCCGGCTTGCCCAACACAGCCTTAACCTTAAGCCTGCAGCCTAAACCCCAAGCGCGCTTCGGCCCTCCTGGCAAGAAAAGCCGAAAGTAATTGAGTCTTGGCTTTAACCCTCAAAGATAGGTTAGGGCAGTTTTGGCGCCTGGGACGGCGTGGGGTGGGACAAACATGTTAGATGCCCTCCACAATCGGGCCATGGCTGCTCGTCGCATTTCCCGAAGCTTTCGAGCCTCGTCTGCATCCTAACCTTCACAGCTTCTGCGACAGCAAACCCTAAACCATAACCCCAGCCCCCAAACCACGCGGGGGCGGGGGAGGGGGGGGGACCGGGCACGTCCTGATCCGACAGACACCTGCGTGCTGCGCACGCACTTATAATGGGCTGGGGCAACGGGACAACTTTGGAGCCAGAAGCCCGGGCGAGGGGACGACGTTGGAAGGGGGCGAGGGCTGCAGGGTCGCGTTGAAACCAGAGGAAGTGGTTGAACAGCCCATAGGACAATTTATGTCCAGCCTACATTCCCTAGGAGTCCTTTTCTTCCGGTTAGGAAACCCTATATTTCAATAGGCGACCCAGAATGTTTTTGAAATGTTCAGGTCCCAATAGAAAAACAACATAACAGAACAATCCGAGGATGAGGGAGCCCAACCCTGCCCATTCACAAACAAACTGATCCAAGGCACGCGCCGCTTTCGATTGGAGGGGGGGGGGGGGGGGAGGCCCCCCCGACGAACAATTGCAAAAATATGGAAGAATGGTGCTCGTTTGCAGACAGGATGGTCAGGAGGCATTGCTCTGCCAGGTTTGGGAGCGCTGACCTTTTTGGGGTTTGAGCAGTGGTTCAGGCCCATTAAGCCTTGACTTCTCTTTGAACGAGGACTTTCACATTCGTAGGAACAGTGTTGGGTCTTTGTTCCCTTTTTGAGCTGCATCCAGGCCAATCGTTGCATGAGCTGTGAGGACAACGTGTTTGCAGCCCAAAGCGCTAGAAGCCCGCATGACTCTGCAGTAGTTACTCAGTAGTTGCGATGGCGAGGATGATCCCGATGTCTTTGCCGTAGTTGCGGCGGGCCTCTCTATTTTCGAGGAGAGGCCATTCAGCTGTCTGGACGAGTCCTCAACTGCTGCTGGCCGGCAGCATGCAAGTTCATGCAAGTGTGACTTGGCCCAGTGGTGCTGAAGCTTGCAGGTTACTGCCCCGCCCCACATGAGTGCTGGTGTTAATTGTCATTCTTCACGACGGCCAAGCAGGAATGTCCAAGTTTGCAGTCCAACAACGCCAAAAACGACCGTCTCATTTATTGAGTTGGGCGGAGGCGGCGTGTGTAACTCGACCATGTTGGCATCGGCGCTTGGGACCACTGGGATCAGGATGGGAAGAAACCGCTGGTCAAAGAACACAGCAGCAGATGAACGGGTGAAGTCGCTTCGTTCAGGCCTTGGAAGGAGATTCCAGAATCGAAGACGGTAGCTGGCAGTGCCCATACCTGTTCCTTCCTTCCTTCTTTCCAGCGCATGTGATCCCCGAAGGGACCGCCCCAAGGGGCACACGTTACTGAGTCAGCACCTCTCGCGCTCCCTCTCTCTCTCTCTCTCTCTGTCTCTCTGTCTTTCTCTCTCTTGCTCGCGCCCACTACTGCATGATGTGCTGCTGATGTGCAACTCCAGATTGCGGAAGACCCAAAATCACACGGACTCAGCACAGCAGAAGCCAAGCCACGCTCGAAAGGCTGGCAGCTTTCGCCCTGTCCCGTATGCGGTCAAGGGCAGATTCCATTGGCTGCGGCTTGTGCGCACCATCTTCTGTGATGTTTTTTTTCTGGTTTCATGCCCCATGTGAAGGGTCTAATGCTATGGCATCGATGCTGGCTTCTTGTTTGCTCGCCACTTCCTGTGTGCGGTGCGAGCCACAGCGGGTGGCTAACAAAGCATGAACGTGCAATGATCAAACTAGAAGCAGTGTCTTGAAGCTCGAGCAGAAACGCGGAACAAAGGGTTCGAGCAAGCTCGCCACGGACATGTGACACCTAGGCGGGAGGGTGGTTTCAACTCGAAGCCAACATGCAGCGGGCTTGGAGCGAGAGCCGTGGCGCGCCATCGAATCCTGAAACGAGCCCTCCCAAGAACCAGGCAACGGAGGGACGGGGTCGCCCACTGGCAGCGCAGCGAGGGCCTTGCGGAGCTGTTGAGGACGTGGGTGGTACACTCGCATTTTGCAGGAGTGTCGATGTTTTTTTTTGCTAGACGGTGGTCTTTCATAGATTGATATTTATATTTACATTTATATTTATATCTATATTTACATTTATAGTTGTATTTATATTTATATTTATATCTATATCTAGATCTATATCAATATCTAATCTATATCTATACATCTATATCTATGTTTGTATTTATATCTATGTTTATATTTATAATTATATGTATATGTAAATTTATGTCTATATTTATATATTTATATATATATATATATATTATATATTTACATTTATGGACATATGTATATATGAGGACTTTTTGTGGAATTCAAGCCGCTCGAATTGAAGTCCCAAAACTATTTCAAAGAGGCCCCCCAGGCCAAGCAGATGACAGAATCTCTAACCAAGTTTGACCTTGATGCTTTAAACGTTTGCTTTTTACCGGCCCTGTCGGCATTTCAAGCGCTAGCTTACAACCTTCTCCCCTTCTAAGTTACTTCTGAGACCCACTCTTTCCAAGCAGGGATGTGGATCCCCTTGGTACCCTCGTGGTATGGTCGGGTAGGATCGTGTAGGGAGGGAGGGCTTACTTGGGATGACACCCTTTTTGAAACCAGGCTCTGAGCATCAGTAACCTACACCGTGAGCCCCAACACTCTAGAACCCTAAGCCCCAAACCCTAAACCAACCTGTTCGGCATTTCTAACTAATATCACTTGTATAAGATACAAGGGTGACCTTCAAATGCTCAGAGCCGAGGACAACGAAAGCTAGCCTGGATTGATGCCGCTATCCATTAGACACACCACTGCCACCGCCTCACCACCATCGCCACCACCATCGCCACCACCACGCTCCACACCCCACACCCCACACCCCACACCCCACACCCCACACCCCACACCCCACACCCCACACCCCACACCCCACACCCCACACCCCACACCCCACACCCCACACCCCACACCCCACACCTCACACCCCACACCCCACACCTCACACCTCACACTCCACCATACACATCCACACTCCACGATACCCCAACACCGTGACCACCACCACAGGGCACCACACTCCACACTCGACCATGCATGCGCACACGGAGACCGCGCGATCCAAGTCGTTACACGTCAGACTCCACCAAACACCGCTACAAAACTAAATGCCACCACACAGCGCACCGCCACCACACACCCCACACCGCAACACATGCTCTGACAGAAACCGGAATCGATCCACGTCCGTCAAGCTCTCCGAAACAAGACCGCGATCCATAACGCAACGACCTCGGATCAATCGCCAGCCATCTCCCGCCCTCCTTTAACCGATAGATTCGATGAATTGCCCCCCCCCCCCCAATTTAAAATCAAAAAAGGAAAAACACCGACAGATTCAGTACCCTACCCTCATTTTCAGATAACATGCAACTTGACCGGGGTTGGACCAGTCCCTGGCCAAAGCAAAGCCTAGCTACGCTTTATTTCGTGCCATGGTCTAAATTCCAAACAGCGAGTGAGCACTCACACTGCGGGCGTTTTGGGGTAGTCTTTTCATGCTTGCGAATCGTGAAGTGATGAAGGCCGGTGATGCAACCACCTTCCCTTTCAAGCAGGCTGGCCCAATCCCAATCTTGAGCCAACACGGTGGAATGTGTGCTTGCGATGGTTGGCAGGATGGCCTGAGGGAACCCCAGCAACAAGACGTCGGCTTGTCTGGATGAATATAGTGTGCGGATGTCACCCGCTCAAGATCGGAAACTGCCAGCCTTGCCGAGGTTCTTGGCAACTTTGGGCAACACGTCGCCCTGAAGAACATCCTGCCCAGTGCTGCGGAGCGCCGTTGAACTAGGGAATCGCATGGTCAGAAGTGCACAAGACAACACCTCTTTACCACCAAGCCTTGCGCACGCAGGAGGGCCAGGACCTTGTTCAGTTTTGTTGCCAAGTTGGTCAAACGGTGAGGCCGTGTTGGCATGAATCTGATTAATGTGGACATCTCCGGATGAAACCTCTTCATGGTCCCAAGTTCCGACCCCTCCCCGGCCCCTCCTTGGAAAAGCAGCCCTTCAACCAGCAAACAGCATGCAAAAAATCAGGACTCAGCAGCAAGTCGCTGCGACTGTCATGTTTCTTACCATCCTGAGCCTAGCAGTCCCAGGAGTCCTATCTTCTGAAATGACAGAAGCCCGAAATGTAGTAGGGCACCGGCTTGAGGGAGGATGGGGTCATGCCCGCGCGAATCGCGTCCTCTCGAGCGCAACCGTTGGCATAAAAATGAGACCGTGACCTGACACAGTCCGAGTCTAGGACCAAGGAAGAGTTTAGGACCAAAGAAGATGTGCCCATTAACCCGCCGATCTGGCACGCTGAGGGTCCGTGCGATGTGCGCGCGATGTGTGTGCCACATGTGTGTGTGTGTGTGTGCCACATGTGTGTGTGTGTGTGTGCCACATGTGTGTGTGTGCCACATGTGTGTGTGCCACATGTGTGTGTGCCACATGTGTGTGTGTGCCACATGTGCGTGTGCCACATGTGTGTGTGTGTGCCACATGTGTGTGTGTGTGTGTGTGCCACATGTGTGTGTGTGTGTGTGTGTGTGTGCCACATGTGTGTGTGTGCCACATGTGTGTGTGTGTGTGCCACATGTGTGTGTGTGTGTGTGTGTGTGTGTGTGTGTGTGGTGTGTGCCACATGGTTGTGTGTGTGTGTGTGTGTGTGCCACATGTGTGTGTGTGCCACATGTGTGTGTGTGCCACATGTGTGTGCACATGTGTGTGTGGTGTGTGTGTGCCACATGTGTGTATGTGTGTGTGTGCCACATGTGTGTGTGTGTGCCACATGTGTGTGGTGTGTGGCCACATGTGTGTGTGTGTGTGTGTGTGTGCAAATGTGCGTGTGGGTGTGGGTGTGTGTGTGTGTGTGCGTGCGTGGTGCGTGTGGGTGTGGTGTTGTGTGTGTGTGTGTGTGTGTGTGCGTGTGCGGTGCGTGTGCGGTGCGCGTGCGCGTGCGCGTGCGCGAGTGAGCAGTTGCGAGTGGCGCGCGTGCGAGGGCGTGAGTGAGTCGTGCGTGACGTGAGGTGGTGAGTGAGTGTGTGGAGTGCGAGTTGTGGTGAGTGAGTGAGGATGTGTGGGTGTGAGTGAGGTGTGGCGTGGGGTGTGTGGGTGTGCGTGGGTGTGCGTGGGGTGTGCGTGGTGTGCGTGGTGTGCGTGGGTTGTGAGTGGTGGTGTGTGGGTGTGAGTGGGTGTGCGTGGGTGTGCGTGGGTGTGCGTGGTGGGTGCTGCGGGGTGCGTGCGTGGGTGCGTGAGTGGGCGCGTGCGCGTGCGCGTGAGCGCGCTTGCGCGTGGCGTGCGCGTGCGGTGCCGTGCGCGTGCGCTTTGCGTGCGGTGCGTGGGAGCGGGCGTGGGCGGGGAGGGCGGGCGGGGCGGGCGGGAGGCGGCGGGCGGGCGGGCGCGCGAGCGCGCAGTGCGTGGTGCGTGCGTGCGTGCGTGCGTGCGTGCGTGGGGTGTGTGTGGGTGTGGCGTGTGTGCGTGTGTTGCGTGTTTCGTGTGTGTGTGCGTGTGTGCGTGTGTGCTGTGTGTGTGCGTGTGTGCTGTGTGTGGCGGTGTGTGCGGTGTGCGTGGTGTGCGTGTGTGTGCGTGTGCGTGCGTGTGTGCGTGTTGCGTGTGGCTCGTGCGTCTGTGCGTGTGCGTCTGTGTGCGTGGCGTGTGCGTGTGCGTGTGCGTGTGCGTGTGCGTGTGCGTGTGCTTGTGGTGTGGTGTGTGTGTGGTGTGTGTGTGTGTGTGTGTGTGTGGGGTGTGTGTGTGGTGTGTGTGTGTGTGTGGTGTGGTGTGTGTGTGCGTGTGCGTGGCGTGGTGGTGTGCGTGTGCCTGTGCGTGCCTGGCGTGTGCCTGTCGTGTGCGTGGCGTGCTGTGTGTGTGTGTGTGTGTGTGTGTGTGTGTGTGTGGTGTGTGTGTGTGTGTGTGTGGGTGTGGGTGTGTGTGTGTGTGTGTGGTGTGTGTGTGTGTGTGTGTGTGTGTGTGTGTGTGTGGGTGGTTGGGCCTGTGTGCCTGTGCCTGTGCGTGTGCGCGTGGGAGTGTGTGCGTGGGCGCATGGGCGTGTGTGGGTTGTGGGTGTGTGGGTGTGTGTGTGTGTGTGGTGTGGGTTGTGTGTGTGTGTGTGTGTGTGGGTGTTGTGTGTGTGTTGTGTGTGTGTGTGTGTGTGCGTGTGTGCGTGTGTGCCCGTGTGCGTGTGCGCGTGCGCGTGCGCGTGCGCGTGTGGGTGTGTGTGTGTGTGGGTGGGCGTGCAGGCATGCATGTGGGCGTGAGTGTGGGGTATGCATGTGGGCGTGCCTGCGGGCGTGCCCTTGTGCCTGTGTGGGTGCGTGCGTGTGGGCGTGCGTGTGGGCAGGCGCGTGGGCGTGCGCATGTGCGAGAGCGTGCGCGTGGGTGTGTGGGCGCGTGTGTTGCGAAACTTCCATGCCGTGGAGTTCCGGTCCTATGCTACTTGCGAGGTTTCGATTTTCGATGCCCCAGTGTTCCGGCCCTGTGGCATTTGTGGTGCCACGATATTTGCAAAGTCTTCCATGCTCCGGAGCTCCGATCCCACCATGTTTATCAGGCTTTCGATGCTGCAGCGTTCGGCTGCCATGGTGTTTTGCGAGGTTTTCGATGCCGCGACGTTTGCGTCTGAAAGCTTTTTCGCGTATTAAGTTTGTACTGCAAAGAACGAGTTTCCAGCTCCAGGGCTCCGGGAGGCCTCTGACAAGCCTTTTCACGTTTTGAATTCGTACTACAAGATCGAGTTTCCAGGATGCCTCCAAGAGGCGTTTCACGTACTAAATTTGTACAAACAAAAGAACGAGATTTCCGCCAGACCATCCGATCAAAAAGATCAAGGATCGAGAGGTGTTTAGCCAAAATGGCCACGATCGCAACAACTGTTCAAACAAGAACGGCGTGAACACACGGAAACGGAGAGTGGCCCTCCTAACCCAAACCGGCCTCACCGTAGTTGGGAGAACGAGTTCCAACTTTTTCGACAAGCACAGCTTGGTAGCGCGGAGAGCGTGAGAACAGCACCGAGGCAGAGCACATGCTCTCGTGGGCTCTGGAGGGTGCAGGGCTTTTAGAAGGTTTGGGGGTATGGGTCTGGACTTGTCTGCAAGGACTTCAGTGCATGCTGGTGGCCTCATACGCAGTTCGCAAGCCGATCACGAGCCCACAAACCTTTCCAGGCAGCAGACCCAGCAAGCATCTAGATAACTTTGCAAATTTGTGTAGCACGCACATCCAGGGTGTCTTCACAGATGTTCTTTCTCAAACCACTGAAATCCCAAGGCCCCAGACCCCGGAAACCATAACAATGGTCCCGCAACTGAGCAAAGGACATTGCCATCCAACCTCGGTGGGCAGAAAGGAGAGGCCGAGGCATCTGCCGTAAGCTTATCCACTGACTTCTTTGGAGATCAACTCATCACACGGCACATGCGGTCCACTGCATCTGCTAGGCTTCATTTTGGGCTGCTAACCTTGATATTTCGAAGCTCTGAGAGTATGACGAGGCCATTCCTTCACCTTCACCGACCTTCTGATCCTCCCAAGTTCAAGATGCATGTGTCAAGTTCCAGACGCCGCAAAGCACCTAGACACGAACTCCCCAACACGATCAGACCAATGATCGGTGAATGTGATTGCTCTCAGCATCTGGCCAGCTTCCACTCGGAGATCACCTCTCCAGCTTCGAGGGTAGTGACCCTTAATATTCCACGCCGTTCGGGACTTCAGGAAGGGAGTTTCCAGCTCTAAAGGGTTATTGTTGGCAGTCGCTGCCGTCTCAGAATCACAACGCCACCACAACCACCACTGCTACTCCGCTCGAAGATGCTTAAGACACGCGAACTCCTGAATCCACACCCGCGGCCATGCTCAGGGACGTGCCTCCGGTACTTGGGCGTAGTGGCCACCCTGGCAAAGTTCGCCACACGTGTCCGCCAGAATTGACCTTCAACGTCGTTTTTCTGAGGGCTTGAGTGGCCGGGCATGCACTTAAATTTGAAGGAGTTGCATTGTAAGGTCAAAACGCGGCCACCGGCGCCATGTAGGGACGGGCCTCGGCGGAGAATGCCGCGCACTTTTGTGTGTTCCGGTGCATCCATCTCCCTTCGAGCTCTACGTCTTCGATCTTCCACGATCTTCCAATGCTCATCAGGTTCTGATGCGATAGCATCTTGTCAGCAGCTTCATCTGAGGACACCGCGTTGTAGACTTGCAGCAAGCCCCTTGCAATACAGCCGTCCCGGAGGCAGCGCACAAAGCTTTGCTACGCTAACTGTCATGCAACCGGTAATTTCGGGGAGCCCTTAAGTCCAACTCTCATACACTAAACACCATGAGCCCGAATCCCTTGACTTTACCATCGTTCCAGTCGGCACAATCACCGTGTTGAGGCTCTGCCTGCCCAGCTTGGACACAACCTCGCTGGCCAAAGCCTCATGGCCATTGCCACCCTGGCATGGGCGCGTGATCTTCGGATCATGGGAGGCTGAGGCTTATTCTCCACCCTCGACCCGCCCGGGTCTCCAAACCCAGTGCCCGCACTCGGTGAACCCCCGCAAGGTATTCTGAAGTGGCCAGTCTTGGAGACTTCCACTGAAAGTCCCGCCGAGTATCCCTGAAGGGCCCATGCCGGGAACATCCCGCCGATAGCCCTGGTGCCCTCCCCAGAAATCCACAAAATCCAGCAGATAATCTCGCCACATCTCGCCCTATCCCTGAGATTTTCGCAGATATTTTTGGAGTGCGAAGAATCCGACGGGGCGTTCCGCCGAGCCGAGTGCTCGACCCCAAAGAATTTGCGAGAATCCACAGAGAATCCCTGAAGTGCCCCACCCCAGGCAGAGAATCCTGATGAGAATTTACACCACCCCTCCCCTCACCAAAGTATTCACGCCTTGTTCAACCCTCCTTGATTCCAAGCCAGGCCAACCACAGCTGCGGTGAGGCATCAGACTTCAGACCATAGAACATACGTGTTCTTCCCACACGAGTCCATCTTAGAGTCAGACCAGAGCGTCAGCCCCTACAGTTCCTGTTTTTCATACTGAGCTGACTTGCAAGAACCGTACAAGAAGTCATTCTATATCGAACGCAAGGAAGACAAAACAAGGTCACCAGGCTTTACCAAAGGCCTGAGTTCTACATCCAAGTTGCCGGCGCAAAAACCCATAAAACGACCTAGTTGCACCTGCATTTTGCCGTTTCGCAACTCACAGATACATCTCCAGGACTTCGTAGTGACTCCAAACACATAGGGGAGGCTCCGGCCTGAGAGAATCCCGTGGGCCGAATTTTTCTGAAGTGCCCAGCCCGAGATCCCGCTCAGATTCCCAGGCAGAGAACCCCACGTAAGCTCGGAGCTCGCCACGACCACCGGCCAGTAACTCTTGGATCTTCTGGCCATTATGGACAGTAAGGCCGTGCATGCATGTTACAAGCCCTCGTCTGAGAGTCAACACCCTTGATTCGGGTGACATGCCCTGAAAAAAACCTTAGGTGCCTTCTAAAAACAACATTCGAGAACAAGAGAAGATTGTTGCTAACAAAAACAACCGCACACGTGCAAAATAGGATTGGGGTATATAATAGTCTCTAATTGCTTCGGCGGCAGCTCGAACTTTGGGCACGAACACTCTGCTATTTCTACCTCGAAGCCGACACTTACTTTAGTGAGTCGTTCAGCCTCGTCAAGCTACGGCCTGGCCTGGATACACAATTTTCTCCTATGCACGAAATAGGGTACCCAATGTTCAACGTGGAAGATTGCGTAGATCCCAAGCAGTGAGAGAGCAGATTCGCAGATTCGCATTTCGCGTGTCGCGTGCTCCGAAAGCGATGACAGTTACGCATTTCGCGTGCCCAGATGTCCAAAAGCGATGACCGCCGGCCGCGCGGAGACATCGACATACATTTCCTTACTCTTGACGTTGGAAGCCCTTAGTGTTGACAAACTGTTTGGGTAACATAAACTTGTACTTTGAGATGCATCGACCACCAAAACCCTGAATTCACCTGCTAAACCTCAAACATCTGAAGGTGAAACCTGATCCGATGCCTGTGCCGCGGGTTTGTGCCGAAGGCTGCCGGCCTGTCGCAAACATTTCGCAAAAAGGCCCGGAATTTGCTGCTCATTTGTGTCGGCATCTCTTATCAGGTGGGAGGAGCGTAGGTCGGCAGCTACAGATAATTCCTACAAATAACAGCATCTCCTCCGCAGTCAAATAGGAATGCAGGTATTTGCTCCATATGTCAATAAGCTCAAAGGAAACCTCTACTGCTTCCTACTACTACGACGTACTACTACGACGGCACGACCACGACTGCGACTACTACACATCACGCTCCCTCACAAGCCGCCCCCATCCCCTGCCAAGCGCTAGGATGCGCCAGGTCCAGCACCCTGATGCCAAACGGCAAACCATTCACAAACCCAAACATATAGAGTACTAAGCGGCAGTATCTCTCCAATTCGAGCACATAGTTTTTTCCTTGGCAGCGAATCTCTTGGAGATTTGCTGAGGCGCCGCGGGCTCGGCGGCAGTGGATGCTGTGGGGGCTGTCTTTGCAGTCTTTGCAGTCTTTGCACCAAGCCCTCCTAGCAGTCCTAGCACAAAGTCCCCCAGTTGGAGAAATGTGGAGAGAGAGCCCCCACATATGTCAGATGCAAGCATCTGGTGGTTGTCTCAGCTCGTCCCGGTGGGTGGGTATGCTTCGGGGCCTGCAGCAGGAATCAGGATTTCTGGAAATGACCTGGGCAGAAGCCACGAAGCATGGACTGGGACGAGCTGGGGGTTACGGTACCTGCGTCCCACCACCATGATGAGTCTTTGCATTAAAGCCACATTTCCCATGAGATGCTCGGGGCTTGCACGCTTTTTGGACATCGTAAGACTCTAAGGAGTCATCACTTGGCGTATCTTGGCGTGGCACCGCCGCCGAGGGATCAGGGTTCTGGATGTGGATAATAACTTCGCAGCCTCAAACTGCGGTGTGAGCGGTGGGCTCTTCAGCTCCAACCATGAGAACCACGAAACTTGAACAGTTGAGCACAAAACAGACAGCTACTCCATCATGGTTCGAAGAGACAAGTAGCAGACAGACACACTAGTAATTATCCTGGAACCTGAGCTGATTCACTGACTGCGCAGGCAGGTGAGACCATAGTCTACGTCGCACAAGCTACTGTACGACGACCCAGAGCGAGGTCACGCAACTGGATGATGCTAGAGAGGGCTGTTTTTGCCCGATACGCCAAAAGGTTAAGGCCAAGTGCCTTGGCACTATGAGCGCCTTTAGTGCGCCTTTGATTGTCCAACGGGCTCAGGATTCAAGCATGATGTGGAAGGGATGTTGAAGGGGGAGGCAGAGTCAATGCTGTAGTGGCTGGGGGCGTGCTTCAAGAGTCAGAGTGGTTCAGCAGAGCATGGCACGAACTCTATTTCGAGAAGCTCAGCAAGATCCCACATCACATCAGCGAGCATGCCGAGATCCCACCTCAGGCAACAGCCAATTTGCAACGGCCCTCTACAAGGCAGCAAGGCTAGATCGGTCTGGCACCAAAAAACCCAAAATGGCTCGGAAATCGCCGTAAACGAAACCCAAATACTAACACCGAACTCCTCAGATTCTTCGCAACCCTCTGAACCTCGTACTGCCTCTGCCATGCGACCCCCCCCTCCTCAAAAGCGTTCTAGATTCTGGTTCCTTGCTTGCCTCTCCTTGAGGTCAGGCTTGGGGTTAGGTTAGGGGCTTTTTCGGTAAACTGAGCTATCGTCTCAGAGCACGCCCCATAACCGCGCGTAGTCGTAGCCAATGTAACCACAAGTTTCCAATGATCGATCAAGATGCACACCGGTCCGCTGCCAGATGCAGAAGTCTGCAAGAAGACTTGGCCTTGCTCTGTGTGAAATGACTGAAATGACGGTAGACAAACAGATGTGAGTTGACAAAAAGGAAAAGCTCTGCCGAGGGCCTCGGCCCTCTTTGAGTTGGAAAGTAATCTGAGCTCGGAGATTCGATTGAATGCTGGGTTTACAACTTGATGACACAATCGGCACTATCCCTGCAATTCTTGAGAAGCTCGCAAGTTGATCACCTTCTTGTCCTCAACACTCCCATCTGATTCACGTCTGCAGTACAGTTACTGTACCACAAGCCCAAACTCCACCCCAAACTCCCTAGGCCACATCTTTGCCAAGCGTCGAGTGGACTCCAGGATTGGAATGGAAAGTGACATCTGCTCCGGTGCCTTCCGCATGACGGGTTAGAAGAGCCAGGGTGCAGGGAGCAGCACACTAGCAGAAAAACCGGGGGTGCAACATAAAGTGTTCTTCGGAGGCAGACGACAGCATGCATCACGAAGGATGCTGGCAGAGCTGGTAGGACACGGAGCCGATTGGACTGACTCTGAGACGGGGTGTCTGTAGACTGCATGTGCAGGCACAGTGCCAAGCAGGGCAACGTATGCCAACAGGGCAAATGATGAGAGTCATAGATAACTTCGAAGGCCTGTCCCACTCCCAGTATGGATGTGCAGCAGGCCGATATTCTCGATGCACAAACAGGAAGGCTGTAGAAAGCGATAACTACGACGGAAAGCATCCAGAGGAAAAATTCCTTTCCCCGACTTGGAATTTTATCAGAACTGGAACGTGGAAGATGCTCGATTCTTCTGCCATCACAAACAGTCGTCGAACTGGCTGTCAATTCACAGGTGATTGGGATTGCTCCGCCTGCCTTTTGTTGAGGCCAGTAGCTGTGGCCTTTGTGCCTGCTGAAGTAGGGACTGGCCTTTGCCCAAGTTCCTTGGCAAAGATCAACCCTCTTTCTTGGTCTCGCAAGGTTGTCACCTTCGTGAAACGCACGCTGAACCTTTGGATACCAGTTGCCCTGCCCACTTGTCTCTTGATGCTTGGGTGACTTTGACAAGAACCAAAGATGTCACCAAACCGTTGCATGCTGCCAGAAAAGCGGAACACTTGTCTGAAAGATGTTTTTTGAGCTCTTAAAACGCTGGTTCGTCTAGAAAGTTGTCATGAAAAGAACTGGCTGGTGGCTAGAATCAGACGACCTCTCCAGGAGCGGCCATCTTCGGGATGCAAGCAAGTTCCAAAGTGCCAAGAGCAAAGTGCACTGTTCCTGAGCTTCTTAGCAAGACAAGCCTGAAAATCTTAAGCCACGGGGCGGTGTATTAACCGACCCGGTGTTGGTCCATCATGGCGGAGGTGCGTCATTTTTCCTAATGCTCTGGCGACTCGAGTCCAAACTGTAAGATAACAGATTAAACTCAGCGTCATTTCCACCCCAGCTTTGCAGCTTCCTGCGTAACACCGGTCTGTTGACAAGTGGAGCTCGCGCGTTGAAATCCCTGAGAGTTCATACGACAAGGCTAAGTAACCATCTTCGGGCAGGCTGGCTGCAAAGAAGGCTGCAACGCAAACCTGAGCAAACTTCCTCGAGATGTGGGCAGCTGCACGACATGAAGCTACAAAAGAGACCAACTGTCAGCAAACTCTTGCCCCATGTCGTCTGCAGCGTACGTCTTGCACAAGAGGGCACGACACAGGCGAATCACTGCGCATGCTGTCAATGCACAGGGAATTTCCAAGGGACATGCCATGCTGAATACCACCCTTCTCATGACGACAATGATAACAATGCAGTGAGTGTTCTCTACGCATTTGACAAGCCCATGGAGGTGTATTGGTGTATGATGGGCAGCAGCAAGAGTACAGTCTGAAATCGGCTGGGCATTTTTGAAGGGGTTGTCAGGCTGCATTTGTCTGAGAAATTTGGTGCTAACTTGGCATGCTTTTGCAGAAACTTATCCGCCATTTCGGCGTCGAATGCGAGATCTAGTGCAATGACACACCCCCTGAACTTCAATAGCATCCTACAGGATTGCTGTCGAAGTATAGCCCATATGCAGCAAATACCGCGTTTGCCATGGTCTTGGATACACCTTCGAAAATCAACAGCGTTTCAGTTTTGTGCCGACGGCAGCTCCGAAACAAAGCTCCCACTCTGGCGACACTCCGACTTTGAGTCAATAGTGTCGTGCCAGGCTTTCTAGTGTTTTTAGACTGCATGGGCAGAGAGTGCAAAATGGGTGGGCGCGAATTTTGTCAATCTACAACCAGACTTCAAGATGGAACTTATCAGAAGCAGATAGTAACTTAGCATAGTCTGATACCTTGCTTCGGGTTGCGCAATTGATTTGATACTCATGTGGAACTTCATGAAAGTCCAGGAGCTACAATTAGTTTCCATGCGAGTTGAGGTCCTCACAAACAGTCGAAACAAGCAACACGAGTACTGTCATTTGACTGCCAACTTACGAGTAGAAGCGAAGACTTCATAAGAACTCTAGTGGAAACACAGCGTGGAATTAACAAACCAAAATCGCCCGGTCACACACACACACACACAGGCAGGCAGACAAACAGACGGACAGGCAGACACTCGACAAATCTCATGCAAGCAGTTCATTCTGGTGGCTCTTCACTTGTCTGCACCCGGGCTCTCATTAATGCCGGGGCCAAGCGGCATTAGAATCCCGCACAGATTCACACGAACAGCGCTTGCCAATTCACTGAAATCTGAAACCGAACGGCTTTGCGGGCTACAACTAAACCATTCTTGGGGAGGCCTTCAGGTCCGGCTTTGCAATGAGGAGGGCGGTGAGCCACTTTCCGTACTCGGGCAGCATGCGCTTCCTGGAGGTGTCGGGTTTTCGGTGAGCCTTGTGAGCTTCGAGTATCACTCTGGTGGCACCAGGCTTTCGCGTGAGTGTGCTTGGATATGAGTACTGGAAAGGTTGGAGAAAGGCTTGACTAAGGTTTGCAACGCTAGGTTAGGGCAAAAGTAGATGGGGCCGAGCGGAAGTTTCCTGCAAACTCCGCCCCCTTCATTTCTTACTCCGAGCCGAACCTGCCTCCAGCGCTTAATTGTGGAACTCTGCCCTTCTACACTTTTGACCACAGATTTGTCATACAACTCAAAGGCAGATGCCTCTTTCAAAGCTCCCAAGCTCATAGCAACTGAGGCTTAAATTACTCGAGCCCTCTAAAGCCCGAAGAGCCCTAAAGC